GGGGGGGGGGGATGTGATGGGGCGACTACCAGAGTAAAATCAATATTATTTAAAACCAAAACACTTTCAGGGAAGGTTTCTCAGCGATGCAATGTTATTTCTTACCTATCCAGATGCTTCTACTCCCCCTGCCTGTATCTCAGCCACCTCCTACAAGACGAAGGCTCTGGGTCTTCTCCTCCGTGGTGGAAGCAGAGCGTCTGCGCTGCCGAGCTCCTGCCGGCATCTTGCAGCACGCTCTCGCCGACGCAAAGGGGGTCCTGACTCCTTGCTCCTACCTTGCAGCGAGTAAACAACAGCAAGAAGAGGGGAAAAAAAGACAGCAAGGGCTCTTCTCCCAGCTGAAGCTGAATCCACGTTCCTCTTCCAACACCCTTTTGTACCTGATCATCTGCGGTAACAACCACCAGTTTGTTTCTGTGCATCTTTTTGTTGCCTGAGGGGCAGATTTAAAAGAAGGGTAAATAAGACAGTGCTGGAGATGTGCCATTACGTCTCTACTACTGTCCAGAAGCCTTCAAAAATCATAAAGCACCTTCAAAATAATGCAGATTCCCTTTTGCTTTTTCTAGGTGTGTGTCAAGGCCAGGAGAGCTGCAGACAGACATTTGGAAACATTCTCACTTGTCTTCTCATAAAAGCTTAGACTCACAAGCAATCTGAGCTCGTTAGCAGGGATATTAAAGGGAAACAGCTCTTTTCATGCTTTGCTAAAATCATGAAAAGCTGGAATAAAGCAGGCCCTTGCATTTACTGGGTTGCAGCATTGCTGTTTGCTGTATTGAGGCCAGGGCCAGATTTATGGAAGGATTCAGGATCTTTAGAGGAATAAAACCACTTGCTCGCCTGTCCAGGGGCTGGTACGGCTTCCACCACGCTGCACCGTTAGCACCTTCCAGAATTAATTCATTTTTCCTCCCTCATGGAGAAAAATCTCCTTCACAGATGGAGAAACAAGACAGGGGAAGACTGACAAAAAGCAGGTCTTTGCAGGCATGTTTGGAAGAATTTTAAGATGCTACCGAGCCCTCCTGACGCAAAGCGAGCTGGCAGAGGGGAGGAGGCCCCAACCCTGCTCTAAAGGCTGTTGAACTCGAGAGGAGCGTGGCACTGTCGTTGCTCTGGCTTAGGATCATCACGGCAAATTCTGCTCCGGGGACCACGGGGAGGGGGGAATTTCTCACTCAAATAGGAGCTCAGCATTGTTTTAAACCCACCCGGGAGCACATGGGTGGGTTGGGCATCAAACCACAACATGAGCACCACAGCTGGGGCAGAGCAAAACTTGTTTGCTTGCTCAGTTACAGAGGTGTCTGATTTTTAGCCTCTGCTATCGCCAGAACTGCAGGATCCTGTTGGTTTTTACATCTTGACATTACATATAGAGAGGGGAGTGCCGTGTTTCTACGCAAAACCATATTTATAATTCCAGATGCACACAAATAAACCAAACAGCTCCACCAGCTCTTACCTTTATGTGTAGTCCGGGCTGTTAGAGACTTACTGACTACACGAAATATAAAGCCATTTCCCTATACACTTCAAAAAGCAGATTTTTTTGGTTTATAAAGTTCATAAGTGGTGAGAAGTGTCAAGCAAGACTGTCTGGAATAACAAATAGCTCTTTTTTAGTCTGATCCAAAGACCCATGAGGCCATTGCAAGGTTGAGGTCTTACTATTGATTTCAAGAGGGCTTTGGGATCAGGCCGGGGCCACAAAAAGGATGTAAGAGGTCGATGTAGCTTGAAGACTCCCTGCACTTGTCTTCTGCAGCTGAAACCTGATGAAGGAAAAGTCACCAAGGGCTCACTCACACTGCACCACACTCAGCTTCTCTAGGGGCTACCCAAGGAGGTGGCCACTTAAAGAGATTTGTGGAGAGCAGGTCCATTAAGCGTTATACAACTCAACGATCCAGGTGTATCTTCTCCTGGAGGATGTTCACTCTAGGGAAACATCCCAGCAAAGAGCTGGGCAGGCTCCAGCTGGTTCCAGCCACACAAGTCACCAGAGGTCATTGAGCAGTGGTCCACGGGCACCTTCCTTGGACGGTTATGCTTCAGGGAGCTGCGGCCTCAGCTGTTTGGATGTGCTGGGTGCTGCAAAAGAAGGGGTGAAGTTCAGCCCTGAAATTTGGAAGTGAAAGAAGAACAGCCTTAAATTTACAACAATGGGGTCAGTACAAAAATGTGACAGCCCAGACCATGACATCCATCATCTTTTTGAGATAACCCTGTTTAAAACACGCTTTTCCTGTCCATTATCTTTTTGAGAGAATCCTATTTAAAAATATGTTTTCTCCCAAACATACTTCCCAAGTGTCAAGCTTGGTTTCTCTGCTCAATGCTTGGGCAAAAATCTCATTATTTTATACAGGTGTTCACCTAAATCTGAATAGTTATTAAGCGATAACTAACGTACC